AGAGACAGAGACAGAGAGACAGAGAGACAGAGAGACAGAGAGACAGAGAGACAGAGAGACAGAGAGACAGAGAGACAGAGAGACAGAGAGACAGAGAGACAGAGAGACAGAGAGACAGACAGACAGACACCAGACAGTCAGGCAGGCAGGCAGGCAGGCAGGCAGGCGGGCAGGCAGGCAAGAGTAACAGAGACAGAGAATCGAGAAAATTTTGACAGAAAGACGAACAGGTAGAAAGACGGATAGAGGGAAAGAGCCAGACTGTCACAAAGCAAGACAAAGAACCAAAACATTCAAGTCACGATGACAGTTGTGCAGAAAGACAGATGCAGACAGCCATGTGTGCAGACAACCAGACAAAGACAGGTGTGAATGAGCTAATATATAAAAACAGAAAGAAAGAGATCAAAAGATCGACAGACCGAGCGACAGACAGACAGACGGACACGCATATGCGAACGATCTTCGCAGTGAGGAGCAGTATTTAAGCAATAGTGAAATTAAGACCTGAAAAAAATTCAGGCCTGTACGGGATTCGAACCCATGACCTCTACGATCCCGGTGCAGTGCTCTACCAACTGGGTTCGAATCTTGTACTGGTCTTAATTTTTTTCAGGTCTTAATTTCACTATTGCTTAAACAGTGCTCCTCACTGCGAAGATCGTTGTCATAGGCGTTTCTTTAACCGCAGTTCAAATATATGATTTTCATCTTAGCAGATAGACGGACATTAAGCTACATAAAACGCAAGGAAACGTGCAGACAGGCGAACTGACTGACTTTTCCGGCAAAGAAAGAACAAAGCAGAGCTACATTGTATACCTTTGCGTGTTTGAGGATGGCCTCACGAGGATGCGAATCATCTCTCATCTCCAGTGCTATGTTCTTAACCACATAAGCTGACAATGACATACCAGATGTAACTCTACCACCATGGCCTGGAAAAAATAGCCACAACATCAATTTTCGCAAGCGTGTCACACCTGTCTGTGCTCAAGTGCTTCCTATGCAGGTTTAGAGGCTCCTTTTATCAAAATACATAGTTGTTATCAAAACTCAGTTTGCTATAGAAAATTATCCAGTTGAGAACCCAAACTAATCTAGGACTGCTTTGGTTTTGCCTTCCCGCGCTCTGTGATTGGTCCAGACACCTCACGCCACCATCCCACACAATTAGGCACAAAATTACAACCAATCAAGACATCGTCACTCGTGTTTTCCAACGCATAAGGCAGGTCACGTGAGTCTCCATTGGCTCCACTCTAATCTATTCCCTTGTGTTGTGATTGACCTCTGTGAATACATGATATGCGCTTAGAAGAAACTTGAACGCTCACCTGGGCCAGTGACTGGCAGATCTGGCCTGTGTGATTTGAGAGGGTCCTTTCGGTCTGCTTCTTTCACCTTTTTCTTATTTTTAAATCGCTTTTCACGGAACATAGGTAATGAATGTGCTATAATACAAGACAAAAAAAATATTGTTATTTTAGTAACAGATAAAATGAACTAACTTAATTAGAATTAGGGACGTGGAATCGCATTTAATCAACTTTTGTAATTTCATTGGAATCTCTCCAATTCATAACTGAAAAACTATCCAGTTAGAATAAATAGAATTATACTTACGAGTGATAATGTGATCTTTCAAAGGCATCTCTTTAGATGCGACTTTTCTTTTCACATTTCCGGCACAAAGTTTAGCTCCCCTTTAAAATTCATCAAAAACAACGAGGGAATCAATGTTAAGAAGAAACACGTTAAAGAACTATAAACACAACAAACGTAAGCAACGAAAACTAAAGCTTAAGAATCAGTTTAAAGGCCAACTCACTTGTTGCTCTTCTCGGGGTCAAAATATACTTTGGTAGTGCCATTCCCACAACCGACAACAATCTGGTTTAACTTGGGGTGCCATAAGCAACTAACGACACTCTGAAATTAACAAATGGTAAACACCACAGCGTACACTATTGAGTTATGGATGCACGCGGGAGGTTGCTAAGCACGAGAGAAGCGTAAGAGTCGCTCGAGGCGATAGCCGAGAGCGACTCTAGCTTCTTGAGTGCTTAGCAAACCTCCCAAGTGCATCCATAACTCAATAGTGTACGCTGTGGTGTTTACCATTTGTTTTATAACATAACATTGATACATTGTAGCTAAAGAGTTCCCTTTTATTTAACAAATCTTACGCGACCAGAAAAGACAAGCGCGCGCGTAAAAGTAGTCTTTGCATTTGCTCACGTCAGCAGCGTACACCCATGGGCAAATGAGGGATGCTAAATTGACCA